TCTTTGACCGTGCCTTCAGCTCCACTCTCGACTCTCTACCCCCTCCTCGCCCCTCCCTTCCCTCCCTCACCCTGACCATTTCCCCCAATGCTCGGTCCTGACCCAACTGTGCAGCGCCTTGGGACGTCCTCCCGACGTGAAAGGCGCTCAATAAATGGAATCTTGTTGTTGTTGTTGTTGTATGTCAAATGCAAGGATTATTATTATTATTATTGACATGGAGGATTGTCAGCCAGGAGGGGGTGAGGGAGGGAGGGAGGGAGGGAGTGGGGGGAGAGGGAGAAACTCCTTTCTCTTCACCATTAGGGTGGGATCCTTTACATCCACCTGAAGCACAGGCAGTCGGGGTTGTTTTGTAACGTCTCGTCCAGAGAGAGATTTCCTTCTGCCTGAAGGGGAGCAGTCTCTAGTCGTACGCTGTGAAGCCATCTGTCTGGCCTAGTTATTGGAGTTGACAGAAATCTGTTACATATTTCTCAAGGTCCCGAGGCGAGAGCAAACACCATCACGGAGGAGGCAGCTTGTCTTAAGTTACAACAGATTCCCTTTGCAAGTTTCCAAAAGGAATGTTGCTCAACGGGGGGGGCTGGAAGGCATCGGTCCCAGGGCTGAAATCTAGGCCAAGGCTCGTGGGAAGGAAAAAGGCTCCTCTCGCTTGCTGCCTCTAAAGGGTGCCTCGCTACAAGCACTTGCACTTACCACAGCGCTCTCATGTGGGAAGTATGTATATAAAAAATAATATGCGCCATATTACATCTTCGAGAACAACAACAACAAGATTCCATTTATTGAGCGCCTTTCACGTCGGGAGGACGTCCCAAGGCGCTGTACAGTTGGGTCAGGACCCGAGCAGTGGGGGGAAATGGTCAGGGTGAGGGGGGGGGAGGGAGAGAGCGAGGAGGGGGGAAATGGTCAGGGTGAGGGGAGGGAAGGGAGGGAGCGAGGAGGGGGGAAATGGTCAGGGTGAGGGGAGGGAAGGGAGGGAGCGAGGAGGGGGTAGAGAGTCGAGAGGGGAGCTGAAGGCTCGGTCATAGAGAAAGGTCTTGAGACCGGCCTTGAAGGAGGAAAGGGAGGAAGCGGCGAAGGCACTGGGGATAGAGTTCCAGAGCCTCGGGGCTGAGAGGCTGAAGGCCCGACCACCGATGGTAGGGCGATTGGGGCGGGGGATGTGGAGCAGACCGGAGCCAGAGGAACGGAGGGTACGGGCAGGCAGGTAGGGGGATAGTAGGTCGGAGAGGTAGGAGGGAGCGAGGCCGTGAATGGCCTTGTAGGTGAGGATGAGGATGAGAAGTCTCAAAGCGCTTCATAGAATATACTGTAAAGTGAATTGACCCTGTATTCTGCGGGCGATACGCGGCTGCCGATTGCACACAGCAGTGTCCCCACAAACAGCCGGGGATTGAGTGACCAACTTAATATATATATATATATATATGTAGAGAGAGAGATTTTTTGAAGGAATTATTGTCCCCGGAAAAGTGATCCGCCCATCGACTAACAACCTACTCACTGCCGGGTAAACAGAGGCGTGTGTATGGAACAAGGAAAATTGCCCAACGTTTCGCCTCGGCCCGGGAATCGAACCCAGGTCTCTCGCTTGCGAGGCGAGTGCTCAGGAGAGAATGACTTAAAGTGCTTCATGACCATATAACCGTCGTCAGAATTTGATAGCGTGTCTGAGCACATGACGTTGAAACAACAACAACTCCTTGCATTTTATATCATTTTATATAAGATTTTTTTGTATTTGATATATTTGGCATTTCGCTCGCCCACAAAACATACAGTCCCTACAATTTACAGTATATTCTGTGAAGCGCTTTGAGACGCCTCGATGACGTGATAAGGCGCTGCATCACACGCGAGGATTATTATTCTCATCGCTCTTCATGCGATTGGTTGCGTCCGGCTCAAAGCGCTTGACAGGATTTCGCTGTAAAGTGCAGTGACTGTGCAGTTGTAGGCGAATGTGGCAGCCAATTTCCCGCAAACGGCCACAAAGTGAGTGATCTCCGCCACTGTGAAGCACTCCGGGACCCTATCCCACGTGGCGGGCGCTATATATTGTTGTTGTTGAGACATCTCGAGGAGACGTGATAAGGCACTATATCAAAAGCAAGGATTATTATCATTATTATTATTATTATTGATGAATTTTAGTTGGAGGATTGTTGGTCAAGACCCCGGGAGTAACTCCCTATTCTATTCCAATAGCGCCATAGACCATCCACATCCATCTGAACAGGATGGACTCAGTTTAATGACTCAGCCAAAAGGTGGTACCTATGATCCTTCCCCCACCCCCAACCCTACATTCGACTGTCCAGCGAGATGGGTCGAAGGAGCAGAAGAAGGAAGGAGAATTTAAGGGTTATAATATAATAATATCATAATAATATCATAATAGCACAATAATATAATAATCCTTACATTCAATGCAACACCTCAGACTTCTCAAAGCACTTAAAACACAAAGAGCTTTAACCAAAGACATGGTCAATCAGTCTTGACCACAAGAGTCTATCTATGTACTAAATACTGTACTGTGGGCATGTTTACGCTGGAAAAGAGATTAAGAGGCGACATGATAGCTGTCTATAAGATTCTAAAGGGGCAAAGCAATATAGATCATGTCGGGCTGTTTCAACTTGTCCAGAATAGTAAAACCAGTGGACACGGCCTGCGATGGAAGTCAGGTAAATTCAGAACGAATTTCAGTGAGCGAATAGTGAACCTGTATAACAGGCTCCCGAGGGAGACGGTTGAAGCAGGAAAGGTTGATTCTTTCACACACGGATTAAATTGTTTTCTTTTTAGGAAAAAACATTATGGGATATAGCATTGAGGGAGGTGGAAGGCGAACTAGATGGCCCTTGATCTTTCTTCGTCTAGCGTTTCTTCTGTTCTTACGTTAAAGAGATAGGTTTCTAAAAGAGGTTTAAAGGAAGTGAGAGAAAGCAGATGGGACTTGGTTTAATGCCTCATCCAAAGGACAGCAACTCCAACGATGCAGCTCTCTCCGAACACTGCCTTGGAGTGTCATCCTGGACTATATGTTTTCAAAGTCCTGCTTGAACCCACAACCTGCTGGAGGCAAGAACACTATGTGGATACAGTCCTAGCAGCTCAGTGGTTAGAGCGCTCGCTTCGCAAGCGAGAGGACCTGGGTTCGATTCCCGGGCAGTGGGCGAAACGTTGGGCAAGTTTCCTTACTCCACACACACACACACACACGCCTCTGTTTACCCAGCAGTAAGTAGGAACCCGGTTGTTAAGTCGATTGGTCGATCGCTTTCCGGGAGTAATAATTCCTTCAAAAAATATGCATAATAATAAATTGGTCACTTAAATCCGCAGCTGTTTGTGGGGACACTGCTGTGCGCAATTGGCTGCCTCGATTCACCCACAAAATATACAGTCAATTCACTTTACAGTATGTTCTGTGAAGCGCTTTAAGAAGTCTCGAAGACGTGATAAGGCGCTGTGTCAAATGCGAAGATTATTATTATTATTATTATTATATACTCCATGCCCTGGAACAACTAATGAAGTTACCTATGGACGCATCTAATCTGCATGTGAAAGAATCAACATTTTCTGCTTCAACCCTCTCCCTCGGGAGCCTGTTCCGCAGGTTCACTATTCACTCATTGAAATGGTGCTTGCGTAGATTGGTTCTGAATTTACCCGCCTTCAATCGCAGGCCGTGTCCTCGGGTTTTACTATCCTGGACAAGTTGAAACAGCCCGACGTGATCTATATTGTTTTGCCCCTTTAGAAACTTGCAAACTACATGGAAAAAGTAAACCCATTGCAAACCAGAAGCACTGGTTGAAGCACAAAGCATCAATGCATTTAGGAGGAAACTTGATGCATAGTTGAGGTCGAAAGGAAAAGAAATGCTATACGTGAGGGGGAGAGGGGATAGGATGGGGCAGAGGCTCATGTGGAGTATAAACACCAGCAAAGACTAGTTGAGCCAAATGGTCTGTTTCGCTGCTGTAGAGTCTGTGTAATTCTATATAATATGTAAACCATGTGTTTACATGATCCCTTTGTTGGATGTCAATTATATAATTAACTACACAGTCTAAGCTACAAAATCATAGTACAAGTCTAATACATAGTCAAGACGACAGTTCAATGTAGCGCTGGGTGGGGGTGGGGGGGGGGTTGCTTTGTAGGAGGTACTTTGGATGAGACATTAATCCCAGGTCTCATCTGCCCGTTGAGGTGTCTGTGGGGACGCTGCTGTGCGCAATTGGCTGCCGTGTTTCGCCCACAAAACACACAGTCAATTCACTTTACGCTGTATCCTGCGAAGCGCTTTGAGACATCCCGAAGACGTGATAAGGCTCTGTATCAAATGCGAGGGTTATTATTACCACGAAGGCACCCGTACACGTTTTGCACCTGCCGTGTAATCCAGTTACATTTGCACATGGTTCACACAGGGCACACGGTGCAGCTGTGTTTTCACGTGGTTTACACGTACTGAATAACACAGCTGTTTTCACAAGGTTTGCACATGGTGAATAACACAGCCGAGGCTTCAACATGGTTCACGACAATTGTGAGCAGAGAGACAGGACGGGACTGGTAACAACTAGAAAAAACAGCCCCTTATAATAATCATAATAAAAATAAAAATAATAATCCTTGCATTTGATATAGCAACTTATTACATCTTTGAGACGTCTCAAAAGCGCGTCACAGAATATACTGTAAAATGAATTGACTGTATATTTTGTGGGCGAAACGCGACAGCCATTTGCGCATAGCAGCGTTCCTATAAACAGTCGTGGATTGAAGTGACCAATTTATTATTGTTTTTTTTCTTGAGGGCTTATTATGAGGTGTGTGTGTGTGGAGTAAGGAAACTTGCCCAAGGTTTCCCCCTGGCCGGGAATCGAACCCAGGTCCTCTCGCTTGCGAGGCGAGCGCTCTAACCACTGAGCTACAGGCCTCCTGGTCATACCTGGTAAACTGAAACTACTCACCGTAACCTGTCACAGCAGAAGCTAACCCCAAACCAGGGGCCCTCTTGTTGTCCTGTCTTTCCTCACGCCAAAAAAACCTACAGGCAAAGAGCGAAAGATGAAATCAGACTAAGTTGGCTCCAACCTACAAAGCTTCGTCTGTCATTCAACCGTCTCCAAATTATGATTAAAACTTGAAATTGAAAGTTAGGCCGCTGCCCAACAACCTGGAAGGTAGACCTTGGCGAGAAGGAGAGACCATTCCTTCTCTAATGATAACTAAAACGTATCACATTTTCCCCCCATCCATCTCACCGCCTCGTTGGATAACGTACGTAGGAGGATTACAACCAATAACACGGGTTTTTAAATCCCTCCATTCCCTCGCACCTCCCTACCTCTCCGACCTACTTACCCCCCACCACTCCATCACCCGCTGCCTCCGCTCAGCCTCCTGTGCATCCCTCGTCCCCTCCTTCGCTCCACCATCGGTGGCCGCGCCTTCAGCCACTACGCCCCGAAACTCTTCCCCTCAATCCCTCCGCCTCGCCCCCCTCCCTCCCCACTTTCAAATCCCGCCTGAAGACCTTCCTTTTTGATCGTGCTTACGGTCACCCCCCCTTCCTGGCCCCCTGGCTCAGGGTCAGATTCTGGGACCCTACCCCGTGTGAAGGGCGCTATTTAAGTGCAAGTTGTTGTTGAGTATTATACCCGGTACTCAATCCACGACTGTTTGTGGGGACGCTGCTGTGCGCAATTGGCTGCTGCGTTTCGCCCACAAAATATACGGTCAATTCACTTTACAGGAATATTCTGTGAAGCGCTTTGTGATGTCTCGAAGACGTGATAAGGCGCTACATCAAATGCAAGGACTGTTACTATTATTAGTAACACGCAGTATGGTACATAATAATCAGAGCATTATATAACGATAATAATAATCCTTGCATTTGATATAGCGCTTTTCACGTCTTCGAGATGTCTCAAAGCGCTTCACAGAGTATACTGTAAAGTGAATTGTCTGCATATTTGTGGGCGAAATACAGCAGCCAATTGCGCACAGTAGCGTCCCACAAACAGTCGTGGATTGAAGTGACCAATTTATTATTGTTTTTTATCTTGAGGGATTATTATTATTATTAATAATAATAATTATAATTATTATTGTTATTAATAATTATTATTGATTATTATTATATGCAGTGTGGATACATTTAAAAGGAAAGTTTGATGCACAGATGAGGCCGTGCGTCATACCCAGTGACGCATGGTATCTTATCTAATAATCACAGGAGTGTTACTCCTTCTTGCTTCTTGCATGTGTTATTTCTCTGCTGCCTTCAACACTGTTGACCACATCATCCTTCTCCGCTCCAGATGCAACACCTGCCTTTTCGTTCCCCCCAGGCCACTGCCCAGGGCCCCAGACGCAGTCTTCAAGTGAGACAGCGAACTACGTGCGCTCCCACCAACATAGTTCACTGCATTCGCTGCTCATGATGTGGTCTCCTCTATCGGTTGAGACCAGATGCAGATTGGGCGACCGATTTACCGAACACCTCCGTTCTGTGTCCGCGAGCAAAACCCTGAGCTTCCGGTTTCCTGCCACATCAACTCTCCCTCCCACTCGCACTCTGACCTCTCCGTCCACGGTCTCCTCCGCTGTTCCAATGAGCCACAGCGCAAGCTCGAGGAGCAGCACCTCATCTACCTGCTGGGGGACCTCACAGCCCTCTGGCCTCAATATTGATTTCAATAATTTCAGACCCTAACAGCTCACCTTCCTTCTCCCCCTCTTCTGTGACCATTACCACATCATCTGGGTCCCTCTCAGCCCTGAGGCTCTGGAACTCTATCCCCCAGTGCCTTCACCGCTTCCTCCCTTTCCTCCTTCAAGGTCGGTCTCAAGACCTTTCTCTTTGACCGAGCCTTCAGCTCCCCTCTCGACTCTCTACCCCCTCCTCGCTCCCTCCCTTCCCTCCCCTCACCCTGACCATTTCCCCCCAATGCTCGGGTCCTGACCCAACTGTACAGCGCCTTGGAACGTCCTCCCGACGTGAAAGGCGCTCTATAAATGGAATCTTGTTGTTGTTGTCCCAGACACACCACTTCTCTCTCAGGTCTGCCTGCTTTGTTGCAATTTCACCGCACCCTTCGTTTTGCACCATTAACACCTCTTTAGCCCATCATCCCCTTGTCGTCTACCCCATTTTCTTCTTTGTCTTCCTTGCCCTGCGTCCCCCTCTTTCCGTTAGCCCTTAAAAGCCTCTCCCCCTTCCGACACGCCCCATTTCTGACGAAGGGTCGTGGACCCGAAACGTTGACTCACTTTCCTTTCTCCATAGATGCTGCCCTGACCTGCTGAGTGTTCCCGGCGGCTTCTGTTTTTGTTATCCTTCTCACTGTTTCTCCTCTTAGCTCCAACTTCATGGCTCTCACCTCTTCTGGTTTCACTCTTATCTCTCCCATCGTTTTGTGCTTTGGCTCTGTCCCGCACTGTCACATAATAATCCTTGTCATAGTAATCCTCGCATTCGATACGACGCCTTATCACTTCTTCGAGACGTCTCAAGGCGCTTCACAGAATACACGGTCGAGCGAATTGACCGTATATTTTGTGGGCAAAATGCAGCAGCCAATTGCGCACAGAGGAGTCCCACAAACATTCGTGGATTGAAGTGGCCACTTTATTATTTTCTTTTTTTTGAAGGAGTTATTACCCCGCGGAAAAGCCATCCGCCGATCGACTAACAACCGGGTTCCTTTTTGCTGCCTGGTGTGGAGTAAGGAAATTCACCCAACATTTCATCCTGGCCGGGAATCGAACCCAGGTCCTCTCGCTTGCGAGACGTGTGCTCTAACCACTGAGCTGCAGGACTCCACATGTGGTATTGCTCTGGGCTCTATCCTTGGTCCTCTCCTTTTTAATATCTATGCTCAGCAATGTCATCTGCAACGTGGGGCTAACTTCCACATGGATGACACCCAACTCTATCTCTCTGTCTCCATCCTCAATTCCAGGACAACTGCTGTTCTGACCATTTGCCTGTTGGACGTCAAGTCCTGGATGAACTCTAACTTTCTCCAGTTGAACGTCGACAACTCAAAGGCTCTTCTGCTTGGCTCCCGTCAAAGCCTCGACATGAAAGGGCTCCATGTAAATCGTAGTATCACGCAGCACAGAAAGAGGCCATTCGGCCCATCGTGCCTGTGCTGGCTCTTTGAAAGAGCTGTCCAAATTAATCCCACTCCCCCAACCCCGCTCTTTCCCCACAGCCCTGCAAATTTGTCCTCCCCAAATATCTACCCACTTCTCTTCTTGATAGCTCTTATCAAATCTGCTTCCACCCACCCTTTCAGGCAGTGCATTTCAGATTCCGAACAACTCGCTGTGTGAAAACATTTCTCCTCATCTCCCCTCTGGTTCTTTTGACAACTGTCTTAAATCTGCGTCCTCTGGTTACCGCAAATGCAATTTGTTGTTGTTATTTCAAAAGCCCTCCCCACTCCGTCACAACTCTGCCAAATATAGTCGGCTTCACATACACACACACACACACACATACATCCACGACTCATTCGGAAGCCAGACTGACAGCATTTGCTGTGTGGACCAGATGTAATAATGCAGGATCCAATGCCAGGCACTCACTCTGCCTACAACAACAACTTGCACTTTGTAGCACCCTCCATGCAGGGTAAGTCTCAGAGCGCGTAACAGTATCAGAGCCTGACTCCCCTGGGGGTGGGGGTGTGGGTCGAAGAGGAAGGTTTTCAGGCTGGAGTTGAAAAAGGGGAGAGAGGGGGCAAGGCGGAGGGACTGAGGGAGAGCGTTCCAGAGTTTTGGGGCGCAGCGGCTGAAAGTGCGACCTCCGATGGTGGGGCGGAGGGTGCGAGGGATGAGCAGGAGGCCGGTGCGAGTCGATTGGGGAGTGAGGAGGTCGGGAGGTGTCAGGGAGTGAAGGGATTTGAACACACGTCAGAGGATCTTGAAGTCGATCTGTTCGGTGATGGGGGCAGCCTGGGCCAGAACTGGTGGGATGTGGGCACGGAGTTTGTCCCCGGTCAGTATGGCGGGCGGCAGAGTTTCTGAATGTGCTGGATCTTTTGAATGGTGGAGCTGGGGAGACCGGCGAACCTGGAGTAATCCAAGCGGGAGGTGACAAAGGCATGCCCGAGGGCTTCGGCTGCATTTCCCTACATAAAATTCCCTCTTAAGAGACCTCCAACCACGTCCTCTTCAACGAATGCACTTCCAATTCATTCCACACTCTTAGACAACGTTCTGGGAGAATGTTTTACCCCTCTGACTCGCTCTCAACTATCTCAACTCACACTTCCACTTGACACCGATTGGTGATCCAATCGGAATCTGCACCTTAAAACTTTGCCATCCTACAGGTCCCCATGAGAGGTCACTAGAGAGCACTTGATTCTCCCCACTCAGAACCATGGTTGGATGGTTGGTTAGAGTCCTGTAGCTCAATGGTTAGAGGCCTCGCAAGCGAGAGGACCCGGGTTCGATTCCTGGGCAGGGCGAAACATTGGGGAGGTTGCCTTACTCCACACACACGGCTCCGTTTACCTAGTAGTAAGTAGTAGGAACCGGTTGTTAGTCGAGTGGCAGATCGCTTTTCCGGGGGTAATAATTCCTTCTAAAAAAAATATTAATAAATTAATCGCTTCAATCCACGACTGTTTGTGGGGACGCCGCTGTGCGCAATGGGCTGCGGGTTTCGCCCACAAATATACAGTCAATTCACTTTACAGTGAAACAATAATAAATTGGTCATTTCAATCTACGACTGTTTGTGGACATTGCTGTGCGCAATGGGCTGCCGGGTTTCGCCCACAAAATATACAGTCAATTCACTTTACAGTGAAACAATAATAAATTGGTCATTTTCAATCTACGACTGTTTGTGGGACATTGCTGTGCGCAATTGGCTGCCGCGTTCGCCCACAAATATACAGTCAATTCACTTTACAGTCTATTCTGTGAAGCGCTTTGGGACGTCCTCCCGACGTGAAAAGCGCTATATCAAATGCAAGGATTATTATTATTATTATTATTGAGGCGCGATATCAAATGCAAGGA